ACAAAAGACCTGTATGCAGAAAATTATAAGACACTGATGAAAGAAATTAAAGATGATACAAATAGATGGAGAGACATACCATGTTCTTGGACTGGAAGAATCAACATTGTGAAAATGACTCTACTACCCAAAGCAATCTACACATTCAATGCAAACCCTATCAAACTACCACTGGCATTTTTCACAGAACTAGAACAAAAAATTTCACAATTTGTATGGAAACACAAAAGACGCCGAATAGCCAAAGCAATCTTGAGAATGAAAAACAGAGCTGGAGGAATCAGGCTCCCTGACTTCAGACTATACTACAAAGCTACAGTCATCAAGACAGTATGGTACTGGCACAAAAACAGATATATAGATCAATGGAACAGGATAGAAACCCCAGAGATAAACCCACATACATATGGTCACCTTATCTTTGATAAAGGAGGCAAGAATATACAGTGGAGAAAAGACAGCCTCTTCAATAAGTGGTGCTGGGAAAACTAGACAGTTACATGTAAAAGTATGAAATTAGAACACTCCCTAACACCATACACAAAAATAAGCTCAAAATGGATTAAAGACCTAAATGTAAGGCCAGACACTATGAAACTCTTAGAGGAAAACACAGGCAGAACACACTGTGACATCAATCACAGCAAGATCCTTTTTGACCCACCTCCTAGAGAAATGGAAATAAAAACGAAAATAAACAAAGGGGACCTAATGAAACTTCAAAGCTTTTGCACAGCAAAGGAAACCATGAACAAGACCAAAAGACAACCCTCAGAATGGGAGAAAATATTTGCAAATGAAGCAACTGACAAAGGATTAATCTCCAAAATTTACAAGCAGCTCATGCAGCTAAATAACAAAAAAACAAACAACCCAATCCAAAAATGGGCAGAAGACCTAAATAGACATTTCTCCAAAGAAGATCTACAGATTGCCAACAAACACATGAAAGAATGCTCAACATCGTTAATCATTAGAGAAATCAAAACTACAATGAGGGCTTCCCTGGTGGCGCAGTGGTTAAGAGTCCGCCTGCCAATGCAGGGGACACGGGTTCGTGCCCCAGTCCGGGAAGATGCCACATGCCGTGAAGCGGCTGGGCCCGTGAGCCATGGCCATTGAGCCTGCGCGTCCGGAGCCTGTGCTCCGCAACGGGAGAGGCCACAGCAATGAGAGGCCCGCGTACCGCAAAAAAAAAAAAAAAAACTACAATGAGATATCATCTCACACCAGTCAGAATGGCCATCATCAAAAAATCTAGAAACAATAAATGCTGGAGAGGGTGTGGAGAAAAGGGAGCCCTCTTGCACTGTTGATGGGAATGTAAATTGATACAGCCACTATGGAGAACAGCATGGAGGTTCCTTAAAAAACTAAAAATAGAACTACCATATGACCCAGCACTCCCACTACTGGGCACATACCCTGAGAAAACCATAATTCAAAAAGAGTCAAGTACCAAAATGTTCATGCAGCTCTATTTACAATAGCCAGGACATGAAAGCAACCTAAGTGTCCATTCAACAGATGAATGGATAAAGAAGATGTGGCACATATATACAATGGAATATTACTCAGCCATAAAAAGAAACGAAACTGAGTTATTTGTAGTGAGGTGGATGAACCCAGAGTCTGTCATACAGAGTGAAGTAAGTCAGAAAAAGAAAGACAAATACCGTATGCTAACACATATATATGGAATCTAAGAAAAAAAAAAAAGGTCACAAAGAACCTAGTAGCAAGACAGGAATAAAGACACAGACCTACTAGAGAATGGACTTGAGGATATGGGGAGGAGGAAGGGTAAGCTGTGACAAAGTGAGAGAGTGGCATGGACATATATACACTTCCAAACGTAAAACAGATAGCTAGTGGGAAGCAGCCGCACAGCACGGGGAGATTAGCTCGGTGATTTGTCACCACCTAGAGGGGTGGGATAGGAGGGTGGGAGGGAGGGAGATGCAAGAGATATGGGAACATATGTATATGTATAACTGATTCATTTTGTTATAAACCAGAAACTAACACACCATTGTAAAGCACTTATAATAAAGATGTTAAAAAAACAAAAAACAAAAAAACCAAGGGGGACTTTGAATTGATGTGCAGTGTAAATTTTTTTCAAAAGATATATCTTTATCATAAAGTGTAAAAATGAATGCAACTTTTAACAAGAGGAAAAACAAAACAAAATTGGGATAACCATCTACCTTTGGCCTTGACCCAATTTTCTCCACTCTTCTTGAGGACAGTACAGCCACCTCTTCTGTCTCATCTGCACATCTATTCAAACCTTTTCTATTCTTAAAGAAGAACAAAACAAAACAAAATCTCTGAAAGTTTCTATTCCATTGGCTTCTGGGAGTATTTTTGTGTACTCCTTTATTTTACCAGGTCTTCAAATGTTGGTAGGTCACAGGGTTTTATCCTTAGGCCACTACTCCTCTGGTCTACGTGCTCTTTTCAGATATCTCACCTACTCTTGTTAATCAACTGCTACATAAATGCTGATAACCTCCAAATCATTAATACACTGTTGGCCTCTCCCCTGAGTTTCAAACTTGCTGGACACTGTCAGCCAGACTGACCAAGAGGCAGCTCAAACTTAACATATTCAAAACTGAACTTACCTACATTCCCTCCTAAATGGCCCTCTTCTAGAGTTCTCTAATTCAGTTGGTGGCATCATATAATCAATCATTGAGACGAGAAACCCAAAGTCGCCCACAACTACTCTTCTCTCACTCCCCAACAATCACTCAAGAAGTCCTCCCTATTTTACCTCCTGAATATTTCTCACACTGCTCTCCTCTTCACCCTATAACAATGTCATAATGGTTCAAGACCTCTGCCATAGTTTCTGCAACACATTTTTCCCCACCTTACAGAATAAAATATAAGAATAACACAAGGCCACTGCCTATTTTTCTAGGTTCATTTGGCATTATTCCTAGCACCAAATTTATGTTTTAGGAAGCAATAAACTACCCAGTTCCTGACCTATATATCACAGTATTCTTGTCTCTGAGCTTTTGCTCATACCGTCTCCTCTGCTATTGCCTTTCTGTCCTTCCTCCTGAAACTCCTACTTATCATTAAGAGGAGCTCAAGTGCTATATTCTTTAGGAAGCTCTTCCTGAAACTACCTTTCTTCCTTTAAGGTTAGGTGCCCCTCTTTTGTACTCTCATTTTACCTTGTTCTTTCTATGTATTGTACTTCCCACACAGTGTTATAAGTATTTGTATTTTCTATGTATTGTACTTCCCACACAGTGTTATAAGTACTTGTATATGTCCCTCTTCTCTACTGATCTCTGTAGCTCAGAGCCTAGCCTACATTCTGACAAACCACAAGTAATCAACAGATATTTATTTAATGGTTTAATAGATGGAGAAGAAGGAGAGGGGATTTTTGTTGGGAGTAAGAGGAACAAACCTGTCAGCCCCAGGCTTCTGAACTTCAGAAAAATTGTTAACTCCAGCTCAACTCCACAAATCAATCTCTGGTGTTGTTATCAGATACGAGAAAAGACCAAGGATGAACAGAGAGAAGATGAGAAAAGAAAAACACAGATTTTGTGGTTAGACAGATAAATCTCCCCACCAAAGATGTCCACATCCTAATCCCCAAAACCTGGGAATATATTAACTAAAATGGTTAGTTAGAAAGAACCTTGCAGATGTGATTAAGTTAAGGATCTTGCAGTAGGAGATTATCCTGGATTATACAAGTGGGACTAATGTAATTACAATGGCACTTATAAAAGAAAGAGGGAGGCAGGAGAGCCAGAGTCAGACAAGGAGAGGTGACTATGGAAGCAAAGTTCAGGGTGACGCAACTGCTGGTTGGGGGCCATAAGCCAAGGAATGTGGGCAGTCTCAAAGCTGGAAAACCCAAGAAAATAGATTCTCCCTTACAGCCTCCAGAAGGATTGCAACTGATATCTTGATTTTAGCCCAGAAAAACCCATTTTAGACTTCTGACCTCCAGAACTATGAGATAATAAATTTGTATTATTTTAAGCCACTAAGTTTGTGGTAGTTTGCCATGGCAGCAATAGGAAAATAATACAAAAGTGTATAAAATGAGATAAATAATATCTACAAAATTGCTTCAAAATATGAACTCGAATTACCACAGAATATAGCAGAATTCATTGTTGTTAACTGTCTAAAAGTTTACACACAGAGCCACATATAAATAAATAAAAGGATTGTCTGGATATAAAATGATAATTTATAGGATAATTTGATAATCTTTTAAAGATGGATATGACTAACCAAAGTAGCTCTAGTTTTAAAGAACCATGATTTTTTTTCTAATAAATTTATTTATTATTTATTTTTGGCTGTGCTGGGTCTTTGTTTCTGCACACAGGCCCCTCCCTAGTTCCGGCGAGCGGGGGCCACTCTTCGTTGCGTTGTGCAGACTCCTCATTGCTGTGGCTTCTCTTGTTGCGGAGCATGGGCTCCAGGCACTGGGGCCTCAGCAGTTGTGGCAGGCGGGCTTCAGCAGCCGTGGCTCATGGGCCCTAGAGCACAGGCTCAGCAGCCGTGGCGCACGAGCTTAGTTGCTCCGCGGCACGTGGGATCCCCCTGGACCAGGGCTCGAACCCATGTCCCCTGCACTGGCAGGTGGACTCCCAACCACTGTGCCATCAGGGAAGTCCCCAAAGAACCAAGATTTTAAGGGAAGTAGTATGAAGGACTTATGTTAAACGTTAAGTGATTTAAAAAGGGATTTTGATAAACAATCCAAAAGACGTGATATTTTTCATTTCCATGACATATAAATACAAAAGCAATAAAAATAAGAGTCTTATTTGTTATAAGATCTGGCTTTTTAAATATGGAAGCACTACCTACAGAATTGGCATATTTGCATTATTTCTCCCCCAAACTCACACACACACATATGTCAAGATAACTAGAAAATATGTAAGTATTAATATCTACATAAATTTATTATAAATCTCATGGGCAGAGTTCAAACAACTTACTTTCCTTTGTCCTTCAACCATTCTGGGTTCTTTTCCTCTTCTTTTAAATCACAAAGTTCAGGAATGTCAGTATTCATTGCTCTTCGTGCCTCTGCTTGTTTATGTAGCCACTGAAATGAGAATGAAGTTTAATGAAGGACACAAAAGTCTTGTTTTATCAGAAGTTACTTTTAGATTTTCCATCTTCCTATACAAGATGGAAATACTATTTGTTATGAACTGAATGTTTGTGTCCTCCAAAATTCATATGTTGAAGCCCTAATCACCAATGTGATGGTATTTGGAGATGGGGCCTTTGGGTGATAATTAAGCTTGGATGAGGTTATGAGGATGAGACCCCCATCATAAGATTAGTGTCCTTATAAGAAGAGGAAGAGACCAGAGGGCATGCTGGCACCCCACCCCACCCCACCCCAGCATCCTGACCGTGGACTTCCCAGCCTCCAGAACTGTGAGAAATAATTGCCTGTTCTTTAAGCCACCCAGTCTATGTACTTTGTTATAGCAGTCTGAGCAGACTGATAAAATAATTGATGGTGGTGGTTTTAAACTTCTAGTTTTTATACATCTTTAAGCTTTTTTTTAAACTTCACTAGCTGATTAAGATCAAATGTATAAAAATTTCTAGTCCAAATTTCATCCAAATTTCTGGGAGTTCATGTGAATATTGTTTTATTTTTCTTGTTTATAATGTATATATATATATTTTACATTATAAAAATATATAAATGATTTTTAAAATTATAACCTTATAGTTACAGAGGTACTTTTATAAATAATAAAATATAGAAATATGCTGTTAATATAAGAAAAAAATTAATATTTATTAAGTGTCATTATATCTTAAGGAGATTCAATTATTTCCACAACTTTTCAATTGAGGTATCAGTTCACACCTTACAGTAAAAAAAAAAAAAAAAGCAGTTCTTAGTGCTTACACAACTAAATATACAATATTCAAAATCCCAGAGCTCAGGAATTTATAAATGAATGAAAGATATTAATGCCAAATGTCACATTAGAAATACTTGATATTAATAATTAATTGTAATAAAATAATAAATTTACAAATCTTTTCTTACCGCGACATACACTGACCCAAAGTTTACAAATCTATTATGGAAAATGATGTATTTGATAAAATAAATGCACATGCAACATTTCATCTCCTGGGATAAGCAAGAACACTGGATATTAAACCAGTGTTTTCTCATCAGCATTCTGGAGCCAAAAAAGAAATAAAAATCCTGCAAAATATATTTTTCTCAAAAGGAAATATTAAATTTTTTCATGAAGTAATATCTTTAGCCTAATGAATACTTTAAAAATTCAGACCCAGTAACAGTTTCAATATATGGAATAAAAAATATTTTCATTGTGGTCACTGTAACTAACAGCAAGTATACTAACCTCCTCTTCTGCTGCTACCTGTGATTCCCGGAGAGCAGTTGGGAATACTCGAGGGGTAAAGTTGATTTTAATACTGCCGACAGAGCGAGGAGCAGGAATACTGTCTTCCTTTAACTTCTCAAAAAATATAATTTCTGAATTTCTCCCTTCAAAAACAATATTAGCAACTAAGTTATTTATCTCTCATTTCCTAGTTAACAAGCTGACTTTTAAGGTAATTACACATTAAAGCTACTTCTAAAATCCTATACAAATAATCCAAACATATTTTCTACAATAAGGCATGTAAAATCCCTCATTGAAATTATGGCAGCTAATTATCTGTTCTTTCAATGACCTCAGCTACTTTTCTGGGGTTCTCTTTGTTAAACCACACAGTGTCTAACTTACATTCACTATAGAGGAAGCCACTCTAGGCAACTTAATCTACATCAACTCTAGAGGAGGGCACCTAGGCAAAGCCATCATTTTCCTTAAGCTCTGATATCAGTATCTTCTATAAGCTCCCTGGTGATGATATAAAAGTTTTTCAGCTATTAAAGACAGCTAATGGGAACAGGCAAAGAGTTGTAATGAAAGGCCATACATTTGTATAAAGGTAGTTAGATGTAATAATTATTAAGTCAATATAAGAGAAGAAATTAATCTATATGTTAGAATATAAACTATATGAATAAAGGGAAGGAAAGGTACTAAAAAGGAAAAGTACTAAAAACATGATATACAGATTTAAAAGGCAAAATCAAAATTGTTTAAAAAAAGATTTTCCAGAAACATGACAGAGAGTTAATATCCTTCATATAAAATGAATACATAAAATTAAGATATAAAACTTCCAATTTAGGGAACTGGAAGTGATGCAGTGGTTAAGAATCTGCCTGCTAATGCAGGAGACACGAGTTCAAGCCCTGGTCTGGGAAGATCCCACATGCCGTGGAGCAACTAAGCCCGTGTGCCACAACTACTGAAGCCCATGCGCCTAGAGCCTGTGAGCCACAACGAACAGTAAGCCCCACTCGCCGCAACTAGAGAAAGCCTGCACACAGCAACAAAGACCCAACTCAGTCAAAAATAAATAAATTTATATATTTTTTAAAATGTCTGAAAAAAAGAGAGAAAATTTAAAAAAAATAAAACTTCCATTTTAAAGAAAAATTGAAAATGGCATGAATTAACATTTCAAAGGGAGGGAGGAGGGGAGCAAGAAAGAAAGAATAAGGACTCAAACAAAGAAAGTAACTTCAACAAAGTTCAGCCTCCCTTAAGAGTGGTGTAGTTATGTGCCAAACCTGAGACAACAGAATATGAATATAAGTGCTGTATAAAACTTATGGATCATTATCTTACATGTAAATCTACTTGCAATGGACTTCCTCTTTCCCCTTCCCACTGGCTAAAAAACAATGCCAACTGCAGCATCCACCTTGGACACAGAAATGGAAGCCAAATGATGTGATGATATATGTGGCCCCACCAGCTTAGATGGCCCCGTGGAACAAAGCCATCTATCAGGCTTAGATTGATTGCTGTTACATAATAAGTCTTAGATTACAGAGAATTCAATTTCTATCTTATTTGGTCTGTAACTTTGGACCTCTTTATTTCAGCAGTTGGCTTGAACCTACCTAACACAATGTCCTAAGAATTTTATAGCCTGGTAAACTGTTGTTCACTTGTGAAGCCAAGAGACAGTCCTAGATATGTAAGAACTAAGTAAATATACCATCTAGCCATGTTTTCTGAATTACTCAAACAAATGTTCCAGAACATGGACAAATAAAATTAAGAACTCAGGAGTGGGAAACCTGAGGGTAAAAATGAAAAAGAATGGGTTTTCTAAAACACACGAAAAAATGTTGTAAGATTTTTTAATGTTACTACAACAGAAGGAAAACAGAATAAAAAGTAAAAATGAAGTATGTAAGTTCACATTTTATACTAATGATTACTAGGATACACAACATGGAGGGAATAAGCACTATTCTTCCATAATGAGAAATTTAAAAATTACTTTGCTATTAATTTTGTTAAACAAAAGTAAATGAATAAACATTTGAAAATGCTTATGGAAATCATTATGGTGACCATGAGTTACATTAAAAATAGGATATCTAGCTTTCAAACTCTTACAGTAAAATAAGACAAACAGAAAAACATAAAAAGAAATTAGCTTTCTGTTTTCAGCAGCATAGGTTAAAGTTTTTACAAACTTTAACAAGCAATTTTACAAGCAGACAAAATGCTATGAACACATAAAATGCTTGATAAAAATATAACAAATAAACAAAAGTTTCAAGTACATAGTTCAGTTCAAAACCTATGCAAAAGAAAAGCCTTATCAGCAATTTATAGCCAGAGTAATCTCAAAAGCTGACAAAAAGCTATTTGGAAAGTTTTCAGATATAGATATAGATATCTATATAGGTATACCTATGAAGGTATATATCTATCTAGATATCCATATCTGTATCTGAAATTTTATGTATATGAATATATTATATATTATACATATATATATTAGAGACTATATATAAAGGATAAAGACTGGAAATTTAATGACGATATAGGTACAGAGGTGAAAGCTGAAAATGCAATTACAGCCTGAGAAGGGCTACACTCTCAGTGAAATGGACGCATAAAATCTCTGTCCACAACTCCAAGAAAGTGAAGCATGTCTCCTCCTGGGGCTCTGGATAAGAGAAGAAAAAACGTCTCTCGTGAGAAACCTAAACTTCAGGTATCCCTTCTGAGTAATTCTACTTCTGCAAACCAGTACACATGAAATTTCCTCATATGCACACATAAAAATAATCCGTGCTGAAGATGAGCACACAAACAAAAACTACAAATCACATGCGGATACAATGTATGCTTCTTCCTCACAGTATGGAGAACAGTCAGCAGACACAACAAACAGGAAGACTGGCCTATTAAGAATTTGGAATAACAGAACAATCTGAAAGAGACTATAATAATTTAAAACATGCTTACTTAAAGAGCTAAGATAGGCTAAAATACATAATGAAAAACTAAGGTAATGAAAAAAGAACAAACAGGTATGAAAGGAGCAAACAGAACTTGCAAATGAAAAATATTGTCCCTGAAATTGAAAACTTCTAGGACAAGTTTAACAGCACATTAGGCATATTTGAAGAAAATTTGCAAACTAGAAGACAGATCTGAGGATATTATACAGAACGCAGCCAAGGAAGATAAAGGCAATTTGAAAACAATTTGCTATTTGAAAACAATAGCTTATAACTTCCCAGAACTGAGGTAAGACATACGTTCTTTGAGTGAAATTATACTCCAACTTCTGATATTATGAGATGAATAAATATAAAACTGCACTTAGAGTAATAAAATCAACATATACCAAAGTGAAGAATTTTAAAGCAACCAGAGACAAAGGATGGATTTACCTTATAAAGGATCAATATTAAATCAAGAGCAGACTTCCCAGGAGCAATATTAAAAGTCAGAAGACAATAGAAACATATCTTCAAGTTACTGATGGAAAATAACTGGCAATCTTGAATTCTACAACCATCTAAAACATCACTGAATAACAATAACAAAATAAAAATAACTGAACTTAACATTCAGATCTTTATTAAAGAACTACTAGACAGGTATAAAGACGCAGACCTAGAGAATGGACTTGAGGACACGGAGAGGGGGAAGGGTGAGCTGGGACGAAGTGAGAGAGTGGCATGGACTTATATATACTACCAAAAGTAAAATAGCTAGCTAGTGGTAAACAGCCGCATACCACAGGGAGATCAGCTCAGCTCAGTGACCACCTAGAGGGGCGGGATAGGGAGGGTGGGAGGGAGATGCAAGAGGGAGGAGATATGGGGATATATGTATATGTATAACTGATTCACTTTGTTATAAAGCAAAAACTAACACACCACTGTAAAGCAATTATACTCCAGTAAAGATGTTAAAAAAAAATTTAAAACTACTAAAGGATTTACTTAAAGGAAAGGTAATTGGATCCAGAAAGAACTTAGATGCAAGAAGCAAAAATAATTAAAAAGCAGTAAATATGGGTCAACAGAAATAGTAATGAGTATATGTGGTAAAGCCACACTAATGACTAAATAGAGAGGTTTAAAAATAAGGTGAGATCAGTTGAGTTCCTCCCGCCAAAAAAGTGGAATAAAATCTTTAGACAGTAACATAGAGGATGGGTACGACTGAAGTTCATGTATTAAATTTCCTTCTAATATTTACAAGTAATGGTAGAGATTAAATTTTGTTTAGTATGCACATTAAAAATAGAATTGTAATTATATCTATGTATCAAAACAGTTATAAAAAATTTAATATTGATCATTCAGAGAACAAAAATAGAATGTATACCTTTCAAATTAGTACAAAGGAAAGGAGGTAATTAATAAAAATTATTTAATCCAAGGCAGAAAAATAGAAAAAAGAACAAAAAAGGAAGTCTGGTAAATATAAATCACAAAGTAAGAGGGCAGAAGGAAATTCTAAGATGTTTGGATATATTTTATTTTATTTTTTAATTAGTTAATTTATTTATTTTTGGCTGCATTGGGTCTTCATTGCTGTGTGCAGGCTTTCTCTAGTTGCGGAAAGCGGGGGCTGCTCTTCATTGCAGTGCACAGGCTTCTCACTGCAGTGGCTTCTCTTGCTGAGGAGCATGGGCTCTAGGTGCATGGGCTTCAGTAATTGTGGCACGCAGGCTCAGTAGTTGTGCGCATGGGCTTAGTTGCTCCACGGCATGTGGCTTCTTCCCAGACCAGGACTCAAACCTGGGTTCCCTGAATTGGCAGGTGGATTCTTAACCACTGTGCCACCAGGAAGGTCCCAGGATATATTTTATTTATAATAATAAACCTAAGTAGCCCATATCAAAAGAAAGACTCACAATAAACAAAAATACACACTAGCAAACTACAAATGATTTATAAACACATTTGTATATAACACGATGACCCACATAATATAAAATATGCGAACAACTGTCATTCCTCTTTTATACATTTGGAAATTTTAAAAAAAATCTTAATAATTCAAAGACAAAAAAAAATCATGATGGGTTACAAAATATTTGCAACTAAATGGCAATGAAAACACAAGATTTCAAGACTTGGTGAATGTATTAATGCAGCAT